ATACATGGGCCTTGGGGAACATTCAGGATCCAAACTGTAGCACCATCTGACAAATGTCATTTAGTGTCTTCTTTGACCTTAGTATTATGCTATTTAGTAAAAACTAAAGAATATGCCTGTGCTGAGGAGGTGGAGATACATAGGTTCCCCCAGGGCCTACTGGACAGTCAGTTAGTATACTTGGCCCATTTCAGGTCAAGGGGAGACCTTGTCTCAATAAACATGAGTGGAGTCTGAGGGGTGACACCTAAAGTTGTCCTCTACATACACGCACACACATGAGCATATGCACAGGGTGGGAAAATTAGAAGTGCTACAGCTGGGAAGAATGTAAATCTGTGATTGGAAAACAGTAAACATTTATTTGAGATGTAACAGGGTAACTTAGAATCTGATTAAAAGTCATTCAAGACTGGTCCATGGTGTTGGCTGCAAGCCATGGGTTAGAAAGAAGCAAGGAAGGAAAAGTCATGTTCGCATAGTGTGAGTCTGGGAGGGGTTCACAGGAGGCTGGAGTTGAAGTGCCATTATAACATAGTGTATTAAGGAAGAAAATGGCATGGAACGATGCTGTACAAAGAGGAGGGTATGTTATTTCATAACAGGAATTAGACTATGATAGCAGTTAGGAGACAATGATGGCCAGTCTGGAAAGAAAGGGTAAAGGCTGGAAAACCACAAGCAACAGCAAAACAGAGTGTACAAGGCACAGTGGAGGGAAGGGTTCTAGGAAGCAGGGGGTCTTAGAAATTAGCTATGGGTGGCAGTCAATTTGAGAGCATAACAGCGATATGTATCTCCTCCCTTCATTTGTCAAGAGTCTAGAAAAATACCTGGAACAAACCCATCCTACACGTGTGTTTGATCGAGAAGCTAACGTCTTCCCAGCATGGTGAACAGATGCTAAGAAGAAGAGAGACTTGGGAGCCTGGTCCAGCTATGCAGAGAGATCAAAGAAAGAGGGTGGTGAATATCCTGGGGATGTGGCTTAAGAAGTGGACATGCAGCTCCATCATGGCACAAGAGGTCATGGTGAGAAGAAGAAACAGACTAACACAGTCTTGGAGGAGGGCAGTGGAAGGAGATACCAGGCATGGAAATACATTCCTGTTTGCAGGATGTGAGGTGCTGGCCCTGGGAAAGTGGGAACACTATTTGGGAACAGAGGCAGACATAGACACCTGAAGAAAAAGGGATGAAGAAGATGGAAGCAGATTTTCTCACCAAAGAATCTGTTTCCTCAACAGAGATTTGGTTCTAAGGAAAGTGATGAACCGAGAGCCCAAGGCTTCAAAGACAACCAGGATGCCTCTCCCCAACCTCTGGGACAGATCAGAAGCCTGAATCTGAAGATGACTGCAAGCCCAGGCCTTCCAAGGAATGATTTTACTGCAGTCCACAAGGTTCACAAAGACAATCCGGGGCCCAGTGTTGCTATGCACACATTTCACCATATCCATTTGGACAGGTCGATTCTGTCTCATTCTATAAGGTATAGCCCAAGACCATCAGCTCTGTGACATGGAGGGCTATATCCATTTTCCAGTGCTTTTGAGAATCAAAGAATGTTTATACAAATAACAGGGAGCTTATTAGGCTCAGGCTGGGTACACAGGGCCAAATAGGTGCCTCTTTATTCAGATCTTTCAGAATCCCTAAAAAGGCTGAATCAATTCAGAATGAAGACAATGTCAAATGCAGAGCATTTGTTGGGAACATAAGTGAGGGGATGCAAGCATCTGATAAGGGGTTGGTACCAGGTGATCTTTAAATATCCTTGCAGTCTGACATGTGATGAAAAATGCTGTGGACCAGATTGAAGACAGATAGTAAGTGAGAAGCAAGGAGCCAACCAGCATCCTAATCATTCCAGTCGGAAAGGTCTCATGACTCATGGTAACACAAGAAATAAAGGGGGAAAAGCACTCTACACTTGACTCACTGCTAGAGAGGCTGAGGAGTGATGCCTGCAGCTTTAGGAAGCTCTGAAGTTCCCACAACTTCTTCCCAAGTGACACATGCCAAAAAGGGGGCAGGGAGGGAAGCCGGTGGAGGAAACCCCAGGATCCTCCACATGAATAATCTGCTCTCTTATTTCCCTGCTTCTCTTTATCCTTCCAAAGGAGTGACCCCACTCTTATACAGCACTATTAATGTGTCAAAGAACATGTGGTTCAACTATTATGATAGCATCTCACTAGGGTACGTAGGGTTGTGTCATAGAGTTAGTTCCCTTGACTGGTTAAACCTTGGGAACGAGAGACCCCCACCCCCTCTCAGCCTTCCTGTCCCTTTTGTGTGAGCCACAAGAAAAGTAGCCAAATACAGTTATAATGCTCCTGCAAAGTAGTTATTGTAACACATGTGTTTTCTGAAACTAACTAGCTACCCACTGTCTATTGATAGGGCAAAATGGACTGCTGCATGAAAAACAAGATACGTTTCCTACTGTCACAGGGCTTCGACAATTGGAGTCAACTTGTGATCTTCCTGTGATAAGGCTTTGTTTGCTCCTCTCCAACTTCAAGTCTCTGCCAATAAACCTAGAATCCCCACTAACCTCTACTTGCTTACACAGAAGCGGCCTAGCTCCCTAGATGGCTCTATTGGCTCATGCACCAGAACAAGCTCCGGAAGGAAAGCTCTGCATGCTCTCAATTTTCCTGGTGTGATGGCTCCTTGGCTACGAGATTTTTAGTGGCATCCAAGGACATGCATCCAGTCCCAGAGCTTTCTCCACAGCTCTTGAGTTCCCAGGGGACCAAGATCCTGATATCTCAATGAAACTTCCCTTTCTCCCACATGACATGCTCACCCTGGTCTTGCAGCTGTGCAGATGGCATAGTACCCAAAGCTCCAGGGAACACATATGATTCTAGGATCAGAGACTTTGTACCAAGAGCCCAGAGCACCCACTAGATGCATGCAGTGATGCTCATCAGTCAAGATTCTGTACTTGGGAATTTGCCTGGTTATTAAAGCTCGTTTGCATTCCAGAAACCAGTGTCTTCTCTACATGAACATTTCCAATAGAAGCTAAACTTGTGTGTCTATACATAGATGTGTATGTAGACTTATATTTGGCAGATGAAATTGTTTATATTTATCACATGTAACATATTTTAAAATTATTGTTCCAATTTTCATACCATAGACAAGTATACTCTTTGAGTGGTCTATTCCAGACCACCATTTTTTTTAAATTTGGTGTTTTTTGTTGATAATTTCACTCTAAAATGGCTTCCAAGCATATCTCTGAAATGCCATCCCATGATCCCAAACACAAGATAGTGGCCATATGTCTTATAGAGAAGTACGTGTACAAGACGGTGTTGATCATCATTAGCTGAGTCGCATGTGAATGAGTCAGTCCTACCTGTTAACTAAGGTGTTTTTGAACAAAACCACATAGACAGCATGAAAGGTTATGTACAGGTTAGCTGATAAAATATTGTAAGCTGAGGCTCATGGAAACCTAACACTATTTTCTCCAGGAGCAAGCATTCAGAGTTTTCTATTTCACCGTCCACAGGTACTTTATGGAAAAGAACTACTTCAAACAAGAATAACACAGATATTCAAGACAGTAATGGCCAAAGAACACTGCAGAAGAGTGTCCTTCCTGGCTACCTCCAGCCAGGGGACAAGTCTGACCTCAGACGAGCACTTAGCAGGATGTTCTTTGCACAGTTGTACACTGTATATCTGGAAGCGTCTCTTTTCCCTACGGCCAACCTTGATCTAGAACCCGAGTATCCTTTGTATGACACTCACGGGAAGCCTTTGAAAACCACTGGTGCAGATTCTAGAAACGGAGGCAAATGACATTCTGATCTGACACTAGCCCAGTCCTTCTCACTGTGGTCACGTTCACTAAGCAATCTCAGAGCCAGAGAAATGGAAGCAAGGGCGGATGGGATGACCCAAGACCTACTCTGCTGCTGGAAGTCCCAGCAAGAGCAGCAAGAGTTAGGAGCTTTGAAGAGCATGACCCAAGTACAGAGAGCTCAGACTAGGGGATGAGCCAGACCAGAAGACACCTTTTCCTAGGCCTACCCCAGATTGATTGAGACATGGAAAGAACCCACTGGTGGGAATCCTGGGGGCTGGAATGGGACACTCACAGCCTTTGGTATTCTGTCTGTATAGTGAGGCCTTCCCCAACAGGTAACTCTGACCCCTTTTCTGGCATCCCTGCTCCCTGGTGGTATTGCTGTACTCTCCTGAGCAGTGGACCATTCCCTAGGAGGCAGGAGCAGTGTGAAGGGGAGACGCTGTGCATTAATATCACTGGGCCCATGGAGCCTGGGGATGCAAGAAGGAGAACACTATTGGCTGGAGGGACAAGCTACCACAGCTTTCAGGAGCTGAGAGGGAACCTAGTGGGGCTCAGAAGAAATGCAAGGAGAGTGTCTGTAACCAACAGGAGATGAGAGACATAGAGAAAATAGGTGCACTATGTGATAGGAATGGGGGTGGGGAAGGGGGTGCATTCCTAGAGCTTGAGCTGGAATGTTTCCAGGGAGTATGTATTTGGGGGCTGGGCTAGGCAGCTAGAGAGACATTTCTATTCAAATGTACTCATTGCCCTTCACTCTCTTCCCCTCCCATGGAGGCCTGGGTGGAGCTTCTGATGACGTCAGAGGCTGCTGTGCAGACAGAGCCAGGCCCTGGGGTCTAGCAGCTAGGCTGAGTCTGCAGAGGAGACCAGCCTCTTTTGTGTGCCCTGCCTTACAGGAGCACCTCTCCCTATTCAGGTCTATGATGAGCTAGGTCAGTGAAAAAGGGAACTAAACTTAGACCTCTTGCTCTCCCTTTCTTGGGGACTCTGTCCACTGGGATCTCCTTGCCCAGCTATTCTCTGTGCCTAAAGACAAAGAGGGGGGAGGTCTCCTAGAAAGTGGGAGGCTACCCTAGAAGGTTCCAGAACCCCAGCAACATGGTTTGCTTCCATACCACCCCCTACAGAAAAAGGGACAGCATCCAATCCTATTACTTACATGTGTCTGGCTTGTGGCAATTGTGTCCCTGACGGAAGTACTGGGGGTTCTCAATGACTGGAATGCGGGTCATGCCGATGACCACTGTGTCAGGCCCAGCGTCCAGCGAGGAAGGTGTGGTGATGCCATGGTTGATGTGGTGCAGTGGGCTGGCTGAGTCCTCCTCACCACTGATGACAGCCACAGGACCTGCACAAATCATGAGATACACAGGACCTAGTGAGGTCACATCCACTCAGCCCTGCCCAAAGACCCTTCACTGTATTACCACCATATTTTTTCAAAAGATTCCAGCCCACTAATAAGTTTTGCCCAAATTCCCTGAATTCTGACCTTAGACAACGCAAGCCAAATTCTCGGCCTTGAAAATAACTGACTCTCAACCATAGAATAGTTCAAAATAAAAAAAAAAATTGAAATAACCACTACATGAATCATTTTTAATTTCTCCCCAAGCCCAAATTAACTCAAAGTAATAAAACTCATGTTTCTTTGTTTATGCAGTAGTAAGAAGACTTAAAAACAGAACCTAGAAGTAGTTGTTCCTCTTTATCCCTCTTCTACTTGGAGCACTAAAAATCACTGTTATTGAAGAGCTGGGGAGAGCCTCAGGTGGCAAAATTCTTGTCTCACAAGCATGAGGATCTGAGTTATGTCCCCAATACCCAAATAAAACACCAGGTATGGTGGTATACACTTATGGTCCCAGTACTGGAAAGGCAGAGCAAAAGGGATGCATAGCACTTATTGGTTATCTATAGAGCTCCAGCTAGAGTAAGAAACTATGTCTAAAGAAAATAAGGCAGAAAGTAACTGAGGAAGAGCCCCATGTCAACCTCTCACCTATGTAAGTACATGCATGTGCACACACACACACACAGAGAGAGAGAGAGAGAGAGAGAGAGAGGCACATACACACACACACACACACACACACACACACACACACACACACACACACACATATATATATAGTTTTACCCCAGAAGTAGTCTGGGATTCACCTGGGCATTAAGAGTTCTCCATGTGTTTTAGTGTATAGCCATGACCCAGAACCTGTGAATATGAAATTGGAGGCCCCATGACCTTCAGCATTGCCATCAAATTTCCAGAGGGTTATAATATGGCTTCCACTGGACTCTGCCATAGCCTTCCTTCACTCAGTGTTGTCCTGAGCCTCACCTAAACCATGTTTTACAAGTGACAGTAATTAGACTATATCACTGGTGGTAGCTGGCCTAGCTTGCCTACTCTTGAAACGTCCACATTGTCCCAATGTCTACAAAGCATACCAACTACATCTTCACCAATCCCATTCTCCCCATTTTCCAACCCTAAGACAAAACCCAGTGAGGAAGGTAACTCAAAGGCACAAGTTGACAGAGATAATTAATGCTGCCATCTTAGCAGAACAATGATTGTGTTTGGTGGTGTTATTTCTCCCATGCATACAAATAAAACTCCTGTAAAGGGAATTAGCTGTGACTGTGTGTGACTTCCTACAACGGGTGTTTTAAATGGCTGCTTTGCTAGACACAGGGTCCCCAGACAAAGTGCCTGCTGTGATTTGGTTTTGCAGCTTGAACAATATTTCCACTGCAGAAATCCATTACATCTTACTGAAGTTTATGGAGAGAATATTTCCCATCAAACAGCGAGGTGAAGCGCCAATGAGGCAGAACTAAATGGAAGACTGGTAAATGCAAACGGCGGACCCTGGATTCCACTCCGTCAGCACAGGCAGGCTTATTCCAACCCGTGACAAATGGCTGATGGCGTCTAGAGACCGTGTGCAAAAGTGGCAATAAGTGGTTGCCCAAGCGCCCAGAGTAATCACCTGTCTTGCAAAAAGGAGTGCGGTCCGGAAAACACTTTCCTCAGAAACTCACTGGGAAAACTTCACTAAGCCCTGCTATTAGCCACCCCCCAAACTTTCACTAAAATACAAAACAACTGATGAAATATTAGTGCACTAAGAGAAAGAGAAGAGAATAAACAAGACATTGCAACAACATTTGGGAAGTTGAAAAACATATCAAAGGAGGACAGTGACTCAGAGCAAAATAAGAGAGTCCCCATGGCAGATGACCTGTTGGAACCAGGCATACCAGGAGTAGGATGTCCAGAAGAGCTCACAGTATGGGGAATATGGTGCACAGGAAGAGGGCAGGGAGACCCGTGCCCCAACAAGACACCTGGGTCCACAACCTTGTCCTCACCCCACAAGAGGAGCCATTTATTCCTACAGAAGTTGAATCAAAAGACACAGGGGAGGGTTGGATGAATCAGGAAGCTGAGCCCTTCCTTCCCATTTCTAAAACAATCACATTTGTGCACAGACCTGCCTACCACTTCCCAGTAGCCACTCACCCCGGTACTAGAGGATGTGAGAAGTTGCTTCCAAAGAGAAAGTCAGAAAGAAGACTTCCAGATGCTGACATTTTTTGCTTTTTCCTGATGAAAAGCCACCCTAGAATCATTTCACAGGGAAACTGACAACGTGCACGTCAACCTCATGCACATAATGTGGAATCCTTTCAGTTTTCCAGAGCTCACTTCCTAAATACAAAGAGACAGTGCTGTGCACAAGACCACCAGACAGCTCAGAAGAGTTTCTGCCCAAAAGAAAGCAAAATGAGCTCGTGGGGGCCTTAAGGAAATGGAGGCAAAGTGCAAAGAAGACTCCAAAAGCCAATGCTCAAACCAATAGTCTCAAAGACATAAATAGGACATCACAGCTCTAAAACAAGGCAATACTTAAGGGGTGAACAATTCAAAGGTAAGAAAGGGTCTGTGAGAATGTCAGTCACCAACATTTTAAAGTCAATGAAGAGCTCAAAAAGTCAAGAAAATCTTCCAAAAATCAAACTGAAAGGAAGGAGTTAAAAACTAAGCAAGAAAAAGTAAATTTCCATACCAAGATGAAATAATGGATTAAAAGAAGCCCCAGGAGTAAGAGGAAGAGAACAAAAGAAAAATGTATGGAAATTTTCTCTACAATCTCCCCCAATTACCTACTAAGATCCTAGTATGATTAGTATATACACAAGTGTATCTTCCTGCTCTGCCCACACACACACACACACACACACACACACACAGAGAGAGAGAGAGAGAGAGAGAGAGAGAGAGAGAGAGAGAGAGAGAGAGAGGTGTTTTTGCCAATATGTAAAAATTAACATCACATTTCCCTTTTCCAGGAAGGTCAGAAATAAGGACTCCATTATATAAGGGGGCAGGGGGTAGGCAAGCAAAAGAAAAGCAGAGCAGGCCACAGGAAGATGGGATGAAGGCACAGAGGGCAGAAACAGTGGTGGGTGCAGGACTTACGCCAGCAGCTCCACTCACTCCAAAGCTTGTAGCTTAACTGCAACCAGAAGTCACTCCCTTTATCATAAGTATCAACCACAGACCCCAAGAAGGAGATTGGCACTCAGCATCTCCTCCTCATCTCTTTCTTTCTGAAGCATTATGGGATGTGTGTTATCATGGTGACATGGAAGGATAGGTGGTGTTGGGGGAAGATGTAACATTGGGACTTCAACCTTTGGGAAAAGCTCTTTCTTCAATCTGTATCTTAAAAGTTCCTGGGGAATGACCAGTCCATAAATCTTTTTCTTTCCAAGACCCTATGACCTAAAACAGTAAAAACTTATTTTTCCTTTGCATTGTTTTTTGAAGGGGTTGAAGTAATAGTTGCGGGGGAAAGACTCCCAAAGCATGGGAAGGAAGAGTTCACCTAAGAAAGCTTCATAGAAACAAAGCAGTAAGCAAGACGATAGAGCCCTGAAAAACCCCAACACCTAATCATGGAAAGGAAGCAAGGGGAGGGAGCAGAAGAAACAGCCAGAAAGTAGAAAGGAACCAGAAAAATACACGCTCTTAGAAGCCATAAAGGACCATCTAGGAGTTCAAGAGAATCTACCCTGAGAGCAAATAAGATAAACGATGAAAGGGGAGATGGAGAGGTAGCTTAGTGGTTAAGAGTACCAGCTATTCTTCCAGAGGGCCCAAGTTCAATTCCCAGCACCCACATGTTGGCTCACAATCTGTAACTCCAGTTCCAGAGGATCCAATACCCTCTTCTGGCCTCTGAGTGCACCAGTCACATACACAGTACACAGATATATATAAGGGCAAAACACTCATGCATATAAAATAAAATACAATAATTAAAAAGATAAATAAAAATGAAGGCTGAAAACTGACATTTGAAAATGAGGAGGTTGGCCTTACAGAGATGAGTTTCATAGAATGTCAGAGGAAAAGGCTAGTTCTAGTGAGTTGGAAACATTTCAATGGCTTTTATCCAGTTCTTCCTAAGTATCAAGTTCTATTGTTGTAGCACCTTTAATCTTGGAACACCTCTGTGAGGTTGCTGGCACTACGGTCCCCATTTTAAAGATGGAAATATGAAGGCATAGAGCAATGACCTATTCCAAGACATGAACCCCACACAGAAGCCGTGAGAGAATTCACACTCACAGCTTGGCCCCAAGGCCAGTGCTCAGAACCATCACCTGGCTCTGCCCCCTGCAAAAGAAGACTGTGGGGAATGTACATGCTCAAAAGGACACCTGCTGAATTCTGGCTCACTGTCCTCCCCATGAGCAGCTGCCTTTGGTGGCAAGAGCCTGAAACACCTTTGAAAGGTGTTCTTCTTGACCCTGAGAATTGGGAGAGGAGGGAACCACCTAATTGGATGCACCCAGGGAGATTACAGATAATTCATCTTCACATCTTACCAGCACTGACAAATAGTCTTATTAAACTATGTCCACACCTAGAAGAGAGCATGGCAGCATCAAACCATTGTCCACCACCCAAGGTCCTCTTAGTCATCCTCACTCTGAAATAAAAGCCAATAAACTGGATATATATACCGATCACTCCTAAGGATGTGAAAGAAGACTTGCCATCCCAGCCTGCCTGTGGCTGAAACCAGCAGTCTCTCAATAGGTCTACAGCATCGGAGCAACATAGGGTCTACTTGGAAATGATAGTCCTGAGTCCACAGCATCCCTGGTCCCGGGTAAACGAGGTGAGTCTCAGGTTCATCATGGTGTAACTGTGGGTTGTGTTCACAACGGAGAAGGTATGCATATGTGAGAGCCAGGGTAACAGGGAAAGCCTGTGTGCCTTTCATTCAATGCTGTGAACCTAAAGCTGCTCTAAAGGGCCGGGGGGTA